ATACTTTATTGCAATGCATAAAATTTATACATAACAAATGGCAAGACATCAGCAGAACTGCTGTTACAAGTCAGCCAGTAAGACGATTAAAACAAGATATTACATTGGATATAAAAGAAACATAAACTCGTAAAAAGTAAACAAAAAATAAAAAATAAACAAAATAAATAAAAAACAAGCATTTTTATATTGTAATAATAAACAATTTTATATTGTATAATCGTTACTTGTGAACAGAAATAACCAGATTCTTTAATAAATATGCTGTGAAAAAGGAAAAATACGAAAAATTATATAAATGGTCAAACTTTCTTTTTCTTTTTTTTTTGGTTGTTCGTTCGGACCAAATTTAACTTTTAACTTTTCAGTTACTTTTTTTTATTAACTTAACTTTTAATTCAATTAATTTCATTATGGATTAACTTGTATTTTAATTAAGTTAAATTTTCAAGGCTGTTAACTTAACTTAATTTAGTTAAAAAAAAAGTTAACTTACCCAACCCTGCTTACTAGTAATTCTTGGATTCAAAAATATACTTTCCAATAATATTCAAAAAGAGATTTAAATGTGTTAAACATAATATGTAAAAATAAATGCTTACATATTTAATATAGACATTAGGAATTTTCTGACAAAAAAATTACATTTACATGCGACTATTGTATTATCTAATTGCAGGTGAGTTCAACTCAACCGGCATAGGTAAGGCCTGCCAGTCAGTGGCGCCAGCAACCACAAAATACCCAACAAATCACCCTCAAATCTGCGATAATAATAATAAAATAAATAATCACAACAATGCAGAACATAATCATCACAAGTACAGAAAGCAAAACACACCGGGCTTGCTTGGTCTGCAGCTGGGCAGCTCCGCCAATAACTCTAAGTCTACTTGTAAGACATTAAGTGATAATAAGACTAGCTTTAGTACTGTATACATTAGGGTACATATAAGAGTAAGTGTAAATTTTGAAAGGGACGAAATGTGTTACACCGTTGGGGTACCTAGCCTAGTTAGGATACCCAAGTCTGATAGTCCCCAACGGTTGTTACGCCTCCCTAACTCTGATGACAATTACTCCTTACTAGGGTCCTGCCTTGACCTAGGCGACAACAATAAATTTAAGGCTAATTTTAGTTATATAAGTAATAACAACTCCAAGTCTGTGATATTGCTCAGCTCAACCAGTTACAGTAACCATTACCTCCTCTTTAGTGGTGGCTTTGACAAGATAGCTGCTGTTATCCCGGTACTTTGTATTAAAAGGGACGATTCTACCACCACATCGAATAGAATGAAACTACTAGGTGATAAGTACGCCCTAGTTACCAGTTTTGCTCAGATCTCTAGACTGCTTGCAAACGATAGAATTCTGGATGATTCTAACTCCGACATCCGAGTTTCACTGAGCCGCCGAATAGTACGACACCTCTTGGAAACGCATTTGAATGTCATCACTTTAGTACCGGTGTCTGTTCACGCTCAGAATTTCGCGATGTACGCCGCAAGTTCTTCCATTACGCTTATCGTTTCCAGAAACGAAGTAATTGACCACACTTTGCGATCTTTCCTGAAAAATCTCACACAACTATATGTACAATCTTCTATTTCTCCATTATGTAATGTCACTGTGACCGAGCTGATGCAACACATATGTGTTCCACTATTAATAATATGTAAAAGTAATGATTACAACGTTGGTAATAATTATAATGAATATTATAACGAGTACAGTAACGTTGGTAGTATTGAAGAAGAAATTAATATTAGTAATAATAATCCAGATGTTATCGGAGACATTGTTGACATCGCTGTGTGCTACAAGACTAGTGTAATGACTACTAATGTTAGGATCTTAGGGTCTCAAAATGATGGTATTAGTTGTACCGAAGCAACAATATATACTGTTGGTGCTCTTTTATTTCAGGATAACAATAAGCCTCTAAACACTTGTTTTAAGATTAGTAGATATAGGGGATTGGTCACTACCGATCGCGAATCTAACTCTACCATTAAGTCTGTATTTAGGTCTAAGTTAAGCGATAAGTGTAGTAACGTTAAGTTTGAAACATCTCATGCCGCTCGACTTGACGAATCTGACAACAGTAAGCAAGTTAAGTTGACTGTCAACATTCCTATAATGACTACCTGCAAGCCTACGATGACGCTTACATGCCAATCAGCCACCGTCGCATCCCAAACAATTGTTGTACCTGTATCTCGGGCGGAGAGTCGCACGAACGACAATGAAATGCGATTGGAATATTTCAATATACTCCAAAATGACCAAATATGTATCCAATATATGTTGCTAAGTCATACAGATGATCTTAATAAGAATGACTTGTGTCGTTATGATGCAACTAAATTTAAAGATGCGCAAATTTATGCTATTGACAAGCTCAAGGCTACTACAACATCGAAAGATGACGCTCAGTTGATCTGCAAATATCACCGAGATATTCTTAAACTTTACGACCAAAGTCGTAAAAACGATGACGATAATGCCATCATCTGCAACGGCAACGAAGATTTCTCTCTATCGACTACGATATGGCACTTCCTAAAGATGTATGTGCGTGTATTAGTTTCTAATTGTCGAAGAATATACGAGACGAACAGGAACGAATACGAAGTTAATCTGCGTCGACTACGATCTATCTTGGACATCCTAATTTGCAAATCCTATGTCTCAGAGTTGTATGAAAATTACAACGAGCCTATTGCAAGTTACAAGCAACGTTGGGGTATACCAATAGGACTGCGGTTGGTAGGAGGTGGAGAGAGTTCCTTGAACAGTGGAGGAGCTGCAAATTGGGGAACAACACAAGCCACTACACCGAATAACAATAATACGAATCAGAGTGGATGGGGTGGTACACCCGGAAATCCACCCGGTAGTGCTAATGCGCCGAACAATTGGGGCGGAAACACTGTCAATCGATCTGTTACTGGTAATCCAAATCAAAATCAAAATCAAGGACCACCTGGAAACCAAAATAATCCAGGTAAGAGAGAACATACATTAAAGGAAATTTTTTAAATTGTTATTGAATATATCCAAAGTATTCACAAGTGAATGTATATATATATATATATATATATAAATTTTTAATATTTAAATCAAATTATTTCGTGTAAGAATTATATTTATATTTAATATATCTATGTTTATAACTAGGTAATTATTATTTTAAGAGTTTTTAAGATATTAATATGTTACAAAATAATATTGAAATATATAACAAAATACATGGATATTTTGGATGTGCATAGACATAAAAATAATATTTAGAAAATATTATTAAACATTATTAAATATGATTTTTAAATTTTATTTTTATTTATTATTTATAAAGACAATTGTATTTCTTTTTGTATTTATTAGGTAATGTGAGTAAAGTTAATAATCCCAATCAACAATCGAATCAACAATCTGGTCCACCAACGTCTCAATCAAATAACCCTACCCAAGGGAATCAGAATAATAACCAATGGTCTCAGGGAAAATCTAATAATCCAAGTGGTCTTGGGCAAAATCCATCAGTGCAAAATAATAATAGTAGTGGCGTTCAACAGCAGCAATCTTCAGGTTCAAGTGCGAACAATAATCAGTCCAATAATCCTACCCAAGGAGCTGTAAGCATTGGCAACACATCAACGACTAATAATCCGTCTACGAAGCAACAACTCGAACAACTCAATACAATGAGAGAAGCGCTTTTCAGTCACGACGGTTGGGGCTGTGTAAGTAAAATACAATATGTGTGATCATATACATTTTAAAAGTATAACATTGAGATTGTCTTTATTACTCGATAAAAGATCAAATAATTTTTCATGTGGAAGAATAGTTATATGCAATAAGTTTTAATAATGGTTTATTTCATGTAATATTTTATATGACAATATCAATAATTGTGCAGCAAAACGTGAATCAAGATACAAATTGGGATGTCCCAACATCTCCTGAGCCAAGCATAACTAAGGATGGTGTACCGATATGGAAACCACCGGTGAACAACGGTACCGATTTGTGGGAGGCGAACCTGCGTAACGGTGGACAGCCGCCGCCTCAACAGCAAACGAAAACACCGTGGGGACATACTCCCGCGACTAACATCGGTGGCACTTGGGGCGAAGATGACGAAACGGCAGATTCATCCAACATGTGGACCGGTGCACCAACGCAATCCCAGCCGAGCGCAGCTCAGTGGACTGGTGCTGCCGGTAATCAAGCCGGTATGTGGGGAGGTAGGCTAGTGAAGGCTGGAGATGCTAGATCTATGTAGGCAAAATGTTTTTCAAAATTTTTTTATTTTGACTGAAAAATTTCCTTAATTTTTCTAATCTTATATTAGTTAATGTAATATGCCTGTTAGCGCACTGCTAACGTATTCTTTATGCGACTATGTTCAGAAACCCGAGTCTCATTCAGTTGCCATAATACATTTATAGTAGATAATATAGAAGAGAAAATACTATTGTATACTACACATGTTATGACATTCTCATTCTTACTATTTTTTAATTTTTTTATCTTACCAGGGAAGTTTCACAACTGTCCGGAACTGATTTGATTCTCCATGAAATATGTTGTTAAACACAAAAATCTAAGAGAGACACATATTTTTTTTATACGTGTGCTAATTCATATTTAAGGAGTGTTTCATCCCTTAAACATGAGTTAGCGCACGTACAAAAAAATTTTTATCTCTCTCTTAGATTTTCGTGTTTAACAACATATTTCATGGAGAATCAAATCGGTTCCGAACAGTTGTGAAACTTCCCTTGTTAGCACAAGGAGATGTTACCTAAGTTTGTTAATATTTTTCTCATATTCTTTTTTTTTGCTCTCTCTCTCTCTCAACGTTATTTCTGCATTGAAAAACTAAACTTGAAATAGAAATTATTTTAAAATACAAATCTGATATATGTCTAGTTGAAACTAAAAAAATTTTTCAAAAGTAATTTTAATTAACATACATGTTTTAAAATACAAAATAAATAAGATGTATACATAACATGAGAAAAATATTATTTATGTGATATATAATTTAGAAGAAATCTATACTGATAAAATAATATATCTATATATTTTGCATACTGTTATTTGATCGACATATTGGGGTATCCTGAACAAAGTTCCATATTTGTAGATTTTTTGAATCATATATAATTGGCCACAAAGTGTATGTCAGAACTTACACTTGTATTTGCGCAGTTGAACGTAATGCAGGATAATAAATTAATTATATTATTATGCTTTCGACACATTCAGCTGCGGTTTATGTTTAGTGTAAGTGTATGTTATATATTTGCCTGTTAGAATTGAATAGAGACACTCCGGCGTTCACAGAGCTTCAAAATAAAAACTGGGGGTATAGTTTTCAAGCGATTTTCATTTGATTTTGCACATTTATCTTTGCAAGTGCTATCAATTTCAAGCGATTTTTGCTATTATTATTTGAGAAAATGTTACGCTGTTTATATGGAAATACGCTTTTTATATGGAAGTGCTATTATTAGATGCTTTCATCCTAAGTTAAATATGTGCATAGAATTAACAACAGTACAATATAAATACAATAATTTCTTTACCTATGTTCTTTCTTCATTTTTGTTTTATTATCTCCTATTAATTATACGTCATATTAATTATTTATATAAAATTGTAAATGTTTATGCATCTGCATATAGCTATAATTGTGGATATAGAAAGTAACAAATTTAATTTATGTGATTTATTACACTTGTATAACAAAAAATTTCTTTTTACTGAACAATATCGATATGACTTTATATATTGATACTTTATATATTGATAGCTTCATCTATGATTAGTTGCAATGCAAAATCAAATTATATCGATTTATAAGTAATTGCTATGTGCTCCTGATCTGCATATGTACATTTTTAATCGTGATAATAAATAAATTTAACGCAAATTAACGAATGCATGACATGTTTAAATAAAATGACTTATAAATCGATATGATTATCGCACATGCCGAAGATAATTGTGGTGACAAGAAACATTGATTGCGACAGGATCCAATTGGGGCGATCCCAGAATAGACCATAGAGATCCACGGGACTTACGGTCTGTAGATCCACGAGAAATGCGTGATCCTCGAGATCACCGTATGTCCTTAGATCCTCGAGATCATATGCGTGTAATGGATCCTATGGCACGTGATCCGCGAATGGCCGACATGCGTGGTGATCCACGTGGAATATCAGGACGATTACATGGAGCGAACGCGGACGCCATGTGGAATCAACCACCTGGACCGCCCCATCATCAGATGGGTCACCAGCATCCATCCGGTCCGCCAGCCAAGATGCTTAATCCGTCAAACATGAATCAATGGGCCGCACAACCGCCAAAGGACATTATGCCCGGCAAACCGTCCGGTTGGGAAGAACCCTCGCCGCCGACGCAACGACGTAATGTGCCCAATTATGATGATGGGACTAGCCTCTGGGGAAATCCAGCTGCTAATCAGCGTGCAATGCCAGGTAGCAAGGTTTCACATTGGAAGGATATACCTGCACCGAACTTAGCTCGTGGAGGTACGCGTTCACGAAGCGCTCTGAAATCTATTATTTGTTTCATATTGTAAAACTTACTGAAAGAAATAATTAAATGTATATAATATATATAATTGATTTTTATTTTGAAATTTAATTTTTATCTTTATTTAATGATACTCTAATCTACATACTCTTTATTGCAGGTATGCAATGTCCACCAGGTATGCCTCAGAACAGAATGCCAGGTCAACCTGGAATGAAACCAGATGTAAGTAATCCCATGTGGGGCCATCCTGGGGCTCCAGGCGGACGCAATGGAACATGGACAGATGGGCCTCATGATACTGCATCTTGGGACGATCCTAAGACACCGGCTACGTGGAACGAACCTCCATTAAATCCAGGTTGGGGTGGTCCAACTGCGCACAAGCCAAAGCCTATGGGACCTGCCGGTAGCTGGACCGATTCTGATATGGATCCAACTCCTAGCTGGGTACATTCTGCAAAACCTACCTTAACAAAAGAAGTTATTTGGAACAGTCGTGAGTTCCGTTATCTTTGCGATTTAGGATTTAAGGTATGATATCTTCGATTTTTGTGTATATTTTGCATGCGCTTCTCGTTTTTATTTAATTGATTTATTATAAAATATTTAATAATTAATATTATGAAGTAAAATTAATAATATTTAAGTTACGTATGTTGAAGCACAAAATTGATTCTTAAGACAATTAGAAGAATCTAATTTTTGTTTTAAATTTTAGAAAGAGGATGTCGAGATAGCATTAAGAAATCGAGAAATGAACCGAGAAGAGGCATTAGAACTTCTCAATCAAATACGTCCTGTCGATCAGTGGAGACGTCACGAGACACATTCAGGTTACGATCCAACTCATCAAGCAACTACTACGCCAGCCTATCCTCGATTCAATCATGTCGGACAACAGATGTCATTCCCTCCGGTAAGTTCGATCAATTATTAAATAGCATTCAGTTTTACTAGAAAGAAGTTTTTGTGATTTTAAATGATATTTTGAGATACACTGATTTTATATAATAAATTCTTAAGTAATTCTTCATTAACAGTGTTGATTTTGAAAATGTGACAAAGCTGAAATAATTGATAATAAACAAGCGCGTGGTTTTTGTGAAAATTGCTTGAGTGATTGAGCGTGTGTATATTTCATGAGCATTTTATTAGAAATTAACATTATCTAATAACTGAAAGTGATGAGTTAAAAATATGAATTGAAAGGGCTACACAATATGTGGAATAGTTACTAATTGTTTTTTTATGTGTTTGCAATTGTTTTCGTTACATTATATGTAGTAAGTACATGTATATTTTTATGTAAGTTCGGAAACGGTAAATAACTCCCAAATAGCGGAGATATAAAATACTTGAATGTGAGGAAAGAAATACAAATTCTTAGATATGATTAATGTTTGAGGAAGAACATTTTATATAGTATATTAATTTGAGAGAAAAGATAGGAAGGAATTAGGCGTGGGGTATAATTTGTATTTAACATAGGGTGGCGGAGTGCCCAGTGGGGCAACCAGTGGGGGCGTAGGTGGTTCTGTCACCAGTGCTAGTCTTCTCAAGCTTCAGCAACAGCAACAGCAGCAGACAGCTGTTCCGCTACAGCAACAACAGCCAAGTACCAATACGCCACAACCCCCTTTCAACCAGGTGAATAAGCTTTCACGAGACGAAGTTCTATCTATTTCTTTTTGTATTAATTTTTTATTGATTTCGAGAAATGTGCGATGAGATGCCTGTTATTTAATTTATTATTACATGAATAGCAATCTCGGGTTTCGGCGCAAATAAGAATAATATCTATTATTTATTTATTTATTATTTTTTTATATGGAAAAATAATCAAAAATTGATATTCTTTATACTATTATGTAAAAATTTATTCATGGTGAATATATAGAAGAATGATTATTTTACAGGCGTATTTACGAATTAAATATGTATCTTAATTAGATCACAAACTTGTAGGAAAGTTTTGTTAGCAAAAGATACCAACTCTCTTTCTAGTTTCTTATATTAGCTTATGTTTATGTACGTGTTCAACCGAATTTGTGAATGCATGAATTTATGTTTATATTGTTTTGTGCATGTCAGTTACTCTTACTAATAATGTATTACTAATTTTCTAGTTAAGATTATAGTTCTAAATCAAACATTTAAATTATGACAGATCGATTATTCATAGAATGTCTTATTTTACATAAATGGTGCTAATATAATTTTATTACTTCAGTTTTCATGCCAAGAAGGTGAACTTAGTTTATAAAAAATCTCTTATTCTCTCTCTCTCTCTCTCTCTCTCTCTCTCTCTCTCCCTCTCTCTCTCTCTATACACATTCATCCATTATACTGTATTATTTAGTTTCTAAACCAACTTCCGCAGAGAACATATGGAATATACGTATAATATATTTATATAACATTAAAACTCAAATCTACATTCAGCTGTGTACATTTCTATTAAGTTTTTGAATATAACAATGTTGGATATGTTGCGTAAAATAAAATTTTATTGGTTACTGCTATTATATAATTACTTATATCTTTGAGAATATAAGTATATATCTATTTTTCTAATTGAATTAATAAAGATTATCATCGATAGTGTTAATAATGATAAAATTAATTTTCAGGCATCTCGTGCATCACAGAATCAGCCAAGCACTCAGCAGTTACGGATGCTTGTACAACAAATTCAACTAGCAGTGCATGAAGGATATTTGAACCATCAAATCTTGAATCAACCATTGGCTCCTCAAACTCTGATGTTATTGAATCAACTACTACAACAAATTAAAGTCTTGCAGCAATTACATCAACAACATGCTGTTCAAAACACAATGAAGGGAAGCAATCAGTCGGCGCTGCAAATTAGTGTTCAAATCACGAAAACCAAGCAGCAGATCACCAATTTGCAAAATCAAATTGCAGTACAGCAAGCAACGTACATGAAGCAACAACAGCAACATCCGGCTCCTCCATCGCAGGCATCGGAATATTACAAATCTTCCGTACATGATCCAATGACAGCTCTACAAAACAGTTTCAGCGATATATCAATGAACAAAGAGCCTCCGGTTGTACGTATCAGTTTATGTAAAAAATATGAAATCCTGATGTATGTATATAATCTACATTTTTACTTTATTTTTGACAGAGTCAGCAACAGTCAAGATTGAATCAATGGAAGCTACCATCACTTGATAAAGACGGTGATTTGGTATCGAACGAATTTTCTCGTGCTCCCGGAACTACTAGTAAACCGCCCGCAACACCTGGTGGTTTGACTCAGTCACATAGTAGTCCGAATATGAATCCCTTGCTAGGTCAAGGAGATGGTACATGGTCTTCACGACTCGGCGACAGCGGCTGGCCTGATCCAAGTAACAGCGATTCAACCGATGGAAAGGATTGGCAACCAGGTGGTGCTGCATATACTGATCTCGTACCAGAATTTGAACCAGGGAAGCCATGGAAGGTAATCCATTTCCAATACCGTCAATTATTACTTATATTTGTTATGCCATTTAAATGCAAGAAAATAATGTTCGTAAAAATATATTTAGAAAAATGCGCGCGAATTATTAACACATATAATAAATGCAGCGTATTAGTATTTAAAGCTTATCCAGGTCCACCTATATTTCATTTCATTTTAGGGTACCCAGATAAAAAGCATCGAGGATGATCCTAGCATCACTCCCGGCTCCGTAGTACGTTCTCCATTATCCCTGGCCACTATCAAGGATACCGATACGATCTTTTCATCGAGCAGCAAAACATCACCGCCACCGCAAGCAGCTAATCCCGATACATCGATCCCAAGTCTAAGTAACTCTACATGGACATTTAATCCACCAGTTACCACACCTAGTGCGTTTACTAGGTAATAATTTTAAATTAATGATAGATATATTATTGTGTGTGTTATATTTTTACTTAAACGTATGTTTTTAAAAAATTAATTTGTTACAGCACTTCCAAAAATACATGGGGAGAATCCGCTCCTCCGCCTACTGCTGTGACTTCGGAACTATGGGGTGCACCGATGAGTAAAGCACGCGGTCCACCTCCTGGTTTAAGTAGTAAAGGAGCTACGAATGCGAGTAATGGTTGGGGTGCTGGCTTAGGAAGTGTTAGTAGATCGTCTAGCTCGTGGGGCCTCCAGTCATCCACTGTCAGTAATTCGGGTTGGATGTCCACCTGGCTTCTATTGAAAAATCTTACTCCACAAATAGACGGCTCTACTTTAAAAACATTATGTATGCAACATGGACCGGTTCAAGACTTCCGTCTCTATCAGAATCATGGAATCGCTCTGACAAAATATTCCTCTCGCGACGAAGCAATCAAGGTAACAGTTTATCGCAACTTTTTTTTAATTCTTATAGTTTTAATATTCGTTTGTTAATAAATTGGCTCTTGATAGTTGAAATATTTCACGAGATTATCGATTTTCCTTTTCAGGCTCAGGGAGCCCTAAACAATTGCGTCCTGGGTAACACAACGATATTCGCCGAGTCGCCTGCAGAAAGCGAGGTTGCTGCAATTCTTCAGCAACTCGGTCATGGCGGACAACAGCAGGCTGGCGGTTCCGGAGGAGCCGGTTGGGGCCTTAGACCAACTAACAAAGCTGGGCCGCCGCCCGACACATGGGGAGGCAGCTCTAGTCAACTCTGGGGCGCTCCGCCCACCAGCAATTCCCTGTGGAGTAACGCGGGAATTGACAACAGCGATCAGCAACGAGCAACTCCCAGTTCTCTTAACTCGTACTTACCGGGAGATCTTTTGGGAGGTGAGTCGATGTAGAGAACGAGAGGCCATCCGCCCGAAATCTCATCAGATAATTGAAAAATTCACTTGCTTATTACGCAAGTCCAGATATGCAGCTCGGCTGACGCAAACTTCGTGATCGAATGCGTATTACTTCCCTTCTGATCCCCGCCTCTCATTCCTTTAAGATTACACGGTTACATTTTGTATATCTTAGTATTATCATGTATTGATCAGTGTCTTTGGCTAAAGCGGATACGAGATGTGTCTGCTTTTGTAATCATTGATGATAGAAGATGAGCATGAGAGAGGATGAGGGAATGGGAGGGGGAGCTTAGAGAGTGATAGAGATGGTATGAAAGAAAAAGTGAAAGAGAGAGAGAGAGAGAGAGAGAAAGAAAGAGAGAGAGAGAGAGAAAGAGAGAGAGAGAGAGAGAGAGAGAATGAGACGGACGAGGTCTTCACGAAACGTCAATTATATTGCTAAGAAACGCAATTACTATAACGAGTTACTTAACAAAAATATTACTACCCTCGTATCCGCCTTGAGTAGAACACGCGTAAGCAAAAAAAATCGCAGCGGCATACAGCCAAATCGTGCGATAAATATCTAATTTTACATGACAAACTACACTCTACACACATAACACATTCATAAAGAACACTCGACAAAAAAGAAAGGTACTTGCAAATATGAATTTTACGATCGCGTCATTACTCCGAGGAGATTTACGGATTGCGGAAGATAAGTTGGACCAACTGCAACGGTCTCTTCATTAACATAATGGTGCGTGTATTGCGTGCGATTTGCCACGATGTATAACGACGAAGTGGCGTTCTCGTCGTTCCAAGCCAATCTAGTAAGAATTTCTAATCTGAAGATAACGCATAGAAGAAGGAAGATGAAAAAAAAAAGAACTATTCGCGCTCCCTGCCATTTTACTGTGAATGGCGGGCGCTTTTCAATGAAGATTTATCGGCCAAGGGTCTCTGATCAGGTCAAAGAGTGTTCCATTTTTTGCTGGACAGTTCTGAAGACTGCAGCGAGTATCAAACGTAGACTGTATCAATCTAATCAAAAGAAAGAAACCTTAAAAAACAAGCATTGACGTCGCTGCCTGGTGTTCTGCCCCGATCCCCACTCCCTACTGCACTCTCCGGACCCCCCACGAATGTGGAAGAAACGAGGAATGCAGGGATATCAGATCAACTGGGCAACGACGCAACGATACCAAATGTTATCGCAATAACGTAAATTTTATTCTATATTAAATCTAGATGCCACCTGTCGTGCCAATGTCCAGTGTGTCTCTTTACCATTTATTAACGTAGAGTTTAAATGAAGAAAAAAAGAAGAAATACGAAAAAAGGAACGGGGGAAAAACGGTAAGATGAAGATTAGAGGACAAGGGAAGACCGAGAAGTGCTGATGAAATGGCTAATAAATCGATTGAAAGTCGGGTCGTGTTTACATTAAAGTAAACATGAAGACGAGTAATGAACACTACGTACTGATTACCCGTACGTAGCATATTACGCTTCTCATTAGTGATGTTCGAATTCGAGGAATCACAATGATCCGCGTAAGATCGCAACGCGAGTAATGGCGATGTTACGAATGTATGGCATTTATTACGGGCGCATTGCGGAGCTCGGTCTAGGATGAATTAAATTAGTTTTTCTCTTCAACGTCAAAGGTACCTGAACGGACTGATAACCAAACGACGAACAAGCGAACCGTTATTTACTCATGCACAACAATTTTGTTTTTACTTTCCGCTTCTCCGTGTCGGTGAAGTGTTTTGGGAACGTTTCGCAATCAATCATTGGCGCAACCGCGAACGACGTGAAAGAGACGGCTTTTTTTCCTTCGTGAACTGAAAGAGGTAGAAAAAGAGTAAGAGATATATATATATATATTACATATGTAAATATATAAATGAAATTAGAAGGAAAAAAAGAAACAATCACAGGACGCTGTTCAGCGAGACGCGCGCAATAAAAGTGAACAATTACATATACACACACGCTGATCATACACGTTTGCCACGCATGACTGAACCTGCATGCTTGCAAATGTCAAACACGCCAAGCTAAGGAAACGTAACATAGTAGCATTGGTCGACAATGATTCCACCGCTTCCATGCGATCGGTCGATCCTCGCGGATACCGGACCACTATATCCTTTGGCGTATTAGTAAATCAAAAAAGCATTGGGAATTTTTATATTTGTTGCCTTCCAAGGAGGAAGAAAGAGAAGAGGGAAAGAAATTATATGACGGGGTACATCGGTCCATCATGAGGACGCGCGATAAGAAATCCGCGTGGTTCCGCCGGTCATGTCGCTTCGACTCTGTCGGCCAGTGTTGTCATGCGTAATGTTTAATTTTAATATTTTCGTAAGAATGCATAATCTAAGCTATTCATAATTATTGTGCGTAAATACCATAAATAGGGTTCAAGTGGAAGTGGTAAAGAATACGACGATACGATTATGACGACTTATATGAGCTGCCCTGCAAAAACAATACCAGAAAAAAAAACGAAAAAAAAGATAAAGTAGTGGAAGCGCTGCTTATGAGAGTCGTTCTGTACATAATTGTATCGTATTCTTGAGAATAAGCTGTGACGGAAATTGAGAAGACAAACAATTTTTAAGCGATAATACAGGCTAGACAGATTGTAGTATTAAGATGGTAGTATTTAAGGATGATGAAAGTAAGACAATGTGATCGCTTAAATTTTCCCCATCAAATCAATTCCCCATTTATCATATCCATGGATAATAATCTGTCCGTCTGTTACGCCTCTTTTTCCAAATTGGTGTATTTAAGATGGCGGGAAATCAATTTTTAATTAAATTGACATATTTTAATTGAAAATAAATTTCTTACTACACACAATTGCCTTTAAGATCAAAGTTATGACAAGTCTCAGATGAAAGATGAATAGAACTTAAATGTAAAACTGAAAATTAACGAATTAATTTATGCTTCTTGAATTGCGTGATCGCTTATTTTGAAGGGTACGATATAAATCTCGTAAATCTCTCATTACTATGTTATATAGTCACACAGACAACATACCCCTCCCCCTGTACATACATATATGTATATAATATGTATATGTATGGTATAACGCCTCCTTACATTTTACTTAACAAAAATTAGCAGAGTGCGATAAGTAGAGTGGGAATATGCGGAATAAGGTATTAGGTATAAAGATAATTATTATATGAACTTATGCTGCACGCTTATGCTATATATCCTAAATTTATAATTACTGAATTACCGATACTGATAACTAGATAACAATAATTGTCTTTATGGGTGATAAGTTCTGACGTAAATTGGCTATAGAATTTGCTGAAAGAAATCTTTAAATAATTATTTTAAGAAGTTTAAAAAGATTAACTGAAAAGATAGGCATTTTTAAACGGGGCAAGTATACAATGGCGTTCTATATAACAGTTCTATAATAGATTTTAAGGATGTAAAGATAGAATTAGAATATAAGTGTTTGAAGACTTAAATTCATGAATGCAGGTAAGCATGAGCGATGGAGTGAATGAGGTAGAATGAGAGGCAAATGAGAGAGGATGTCAATAAGAAAGCAGATGCAGCGAGTGAACGGTTATAATGGAATATAATAGAAAATAGAGGGAACGAACATAGAAAACGAAAAGTAAAAGTAAAATCCAATTGCTTTCACAAAATGGACCGTGGTATGAAAGTGAAATATGCGAATTATTCGTTTGCATTTCTCAATACCTGCAGACATGCGTTTTCATTACAATTTTCTTCTTTGCCTCGGTAAACATTTTAAGTGCAAGGTAAGTTAGCGCATGCTAATTTACAATATGAGGAAGGCTAATTGAGGGATTGAATAATATTTAAAGTATGAAGGGCCGTTAATTTTGAAAATCAAAGGAGAATTTTTCTCCGAGTTAGCCAAGATGATCGGACAACCTAACATTATATTTGTTGTGATAACAGTGATTAATAGCCAAGGTATTTTATATTTAGGTGTTTAGGGTCTCTTACGTGTGAATAATGAGTAATCCAGTGCGTATAATTCAATGGGTTTTAATATTAATACTATAAAGTTTAATGAATAAATTTCAATCGCGTACGTAAGTAATAACAGTAATAATAATATATAATAATAATATCTCTATAATAATGATTAAATTAATGATAAAAGTCAACTAATCAGGAGTCAGTAAACTGATCAAGAGTCAGCGAAAATGAAAATGAATTATTGACTTTGATATATGTAGAGATATATATATATATATATATAAAGCTCCCAAAAGGTGCAAAGTGCGTACTTGTAAATGTGCGTGCGTGAAATTTGTGCGTATATATGGCGTATATAATTGACTAAAATACAATCGATCGATCGTCGCAATAAAATAGTATGAAACACGCACTAGGTGCGTGCGAAAGAATACTGCGCATTCACATACCGTGTTAAAAGTACGCGCGCAATACACATATGTGTATTGCGCGTACTTTTAATGCAATGAGGTGATAAGGGAATAATATGGCAATTACAATTTTTAAACGGTAAATACTTTAACAACATGACGCATGTAGCCGATCGCTTAATTATAATTTAAAGCAAGTTAACTTTAATCTTTCTAACTCTCGTTGCCTTTCATCGTTCAATACATTTTACACACGATAGCTACACAGACACAGACATACAAACATAATATGCAATCGCGAGATGATAATTAAATTCGATGAAAATGGACTGATTAGCGGAAATAAGATAACTAAATTTGTTAATTTACACAGATACACACGCGCACATACTTTGCAAATGCTTGGTACAAAACAGTCGTTTTATTGATAATTAATAGCAGCTAAAGAGATGGAAAAATTACGGGAAATAGGAAAAGAAAAGTATATCGACAAGATCGGAGAGACATAAGGATAAATGATTTGTATCATTTTGATAGTGTGAGATTCACATACTTTCATTTTTAATTTACCTTTTAATTTGTACATATATATATATTGAACACAGTTTATATATTGTTTAATTTTTGTTTATAACATTGATCAAATTGAAGCACGGAAAAATGAAGTTTTTCAGTTTTTAGAAATACGTTTACCTTGATTTTTTATGCTGTAATTTTATGTTATGATATTTTATCACATTAAAGCAAAATATTTGTAACTAATCTATAGCTTATAGGATATTTGTTTTGTGCCGGAGATACTTCAAAGTAAAGAAAATGATCGTGGAATGGCAGTGCTTTTTAATATCTGTTTCGCTCATTGTATTAATATCCCTGTGAATAGAAAATAATACTAAAAAGCGAATGTTTCAGAAAAAAATATCATTACTCGAAGTATGTCGTATGTGATAACGCAAATAATCCTACAAATTGTATAACCGAAACAACGATACCAATAAGATACTTTTTCGATAGAGAGGAAAGTTGAGATTTTATCCCGTAATTTTTCAACCGTAATTGTTCGTAAACAAGAAGGTTCGCATTTATAGCCGGAGCGACAATCGCTTCATATCAATTTGTAACGATAATGGTACAAATAATCGTATAATATAACAGTATTTTAATGTTTATATCGCACGCGATAGTTGTGCATAACATATGTGCAATAGCTCTCGAAGCCGCTTATAGATTGTATGAGTTATATTAATTGTAGAATTATATTAATTATTAATTAGAATATATTGCACTGCTGTTACACCATCATTCCGCTTTTTCCGCTTTCTTTTTCTACGCGAACGATAGTCTTCGCTTGTGTGTGTGCCTTCCCTTTTTCTTTCAAGCGTTATATAACTATTTAAGACCGATCATTGCATTCTTCGCTTGACGTTTTTATAGAGCTTGACTTGTGACGATGGATGCTATCGTTCTAACGTAATTTTTTAAGTCATTGTTACGAGGAATCAATGTCGAAATCGCGCTGTTAGACGAGTATTTCCTTCCACGTGACGACGGCTTTATCGCTGCGACAGTCGTCGTTAGAGCGATTTGTCCATTCGATAGAGTCGCGCGTGACAGTCGCGATTTTCTACAGCCGTGATCTCGAGATGCAGCTGTGGTCCGTAAGAAGGATAAAAAAGAATATATCTCAGGTTTCTGACCGGTATTATCGTGTTATACCATACCACTTAGCGTACTACAGTACAATGGCAACTAGCTGTCGTACAGTATTAGCTATTACGGAAGGCTAGTACGGAAATATCGTAATATCGTATTGTCAACTTACGTAACGAGGATCTGTCGTGGACCATAATTGATTCAGGCGATATAGTGGCTGCAGCTAGTCATGGCTGATCATCTCCCGTGCGCGTTGATTCTTCTTAGGCACCAAGTCGCCCGAAAGTCTCCAAAGTGCATTGAAAATGAAATCCTTCAATTAGATCACGTCTGTAGATATATTAAAGCAGGAGTAGTTTAATATATCCGCTCTGTCTCTCTATTATTACTTGAAAACTAATCCTAATCGGATTCACATGTATAATCAAATCGGAACCGAGTAGATCGTTTACTTATTACGTTAATTATTTCAGAAACACACCGTTTTACGATAAATAATTACTATGATGAAAGCAAGTTTAATTATTTGAAAATCAAGAGGAAATCTAGTAAATTCATTCACAATGGCTATAGTAATTGCTCTTTACTTAAGAAAGTGCTGTCGCGCTTGCATTTAGTCCCGAAAATCGATCCCAGGAAATTGTCCTCTCCAAAACTTGTCTACTGATTGTACATATCGATTCATGTCCGTGTTTCTAGATAATTGCGTATGTCGTTGCATAAACATAGTTTACGCACAACTATACCATATTTGCTATATATATTAGAGAACTACGTCTCGGTAATTATTTTAGTCAACTTGCTTGAGTATCGAATATCGTTGCATTTTCGCACCATGTGTTTCCTACTAATTGAGTCATTAATTTATTAGTATCGTGTATATCTATGTATATGTATATAGAGCGTGCATTTCGTTTCCACTTGATATCGTACACTGGAATTTTATGTCCAAACAGAATACGAGAGCAGGAGATACGGAAGTATCCTATGAAGAGAATCAAATAGTCCTGCGTTGAACTTTGTCAACAGTTAACTAATTAATGAATTAAATCTTTAACAAGTCTCTTCGGATGTTATTGTTCCATAGATATAAGAGAGAAAGTTCAGTTATTCGGGATTAGCGTTAATCGGTTAATTGTTTGGCAAGCAGCTGACTTAGAAGATGGACTAGGAATAAGCGACTCTATATTTCCTAGGAATTTTCAGAGGTTGATGAAAAAGAATCTAGAAAAGATTTGAACGATAGTTAGTGGAAGCGTTTGGTATTTCAAGCAAAGTATTCCTTTCAATCGTTGACTTCCCTTGTAAAAAAATACTACTGAGCACTACTAGTGTGCAGTAGTATTTTGAGGCACTACTGCTATAGTGTAGTAGTACAGTAGTACTTTTTTTAGGGTATATCCGCGTTTCGGTAAGATACAAAATGCAGGAAACGAGTATGCGTCACAGAAACTAACTATTAATAACGCTATTAAAAAAAAGCACTTTTAGAGACTCCATGAACACATTGTAAGTGACGAACTCCATTTGCATACTCCTCTTTATAGGAGTTCGCGTCATTTTCTTCTTACGGGACTCGTTTTCCGTAAGAAGGAAATAACGCGGATCCCTATAAATGGGCATATGCAAATGAAGTCCGTCACTTACTCTTAGCTCGATCAGAGTGTGCTCATGGAGCCTTTGAAAGTGTTTTTTTTAAAATACTCTTGTAGAAAAGTACTACTACGCAGTAATATTTAGTGGCATTGCTGTATTACTACACTCTATAGCAGTAGTGCAGTAGTGCCTCAAAATACTACTGAGCATTAGTAGTGCTCAGTAGTATTTTTCTACAAGGGTTATATATAAAATTATTCAAGATTTCCAGTTCTTGTCTTGGGTTGTTCGATTACTGAACAACAGTATTATACCTGGGACACATTACACTCGCAAACACATGTACACATCCATATAAGATTTATGATATTAATTTCGTATCGATAATCGGACTTCGAAGTCTATGATATTAAACTCAAAATTATTTATAGTGCTTGTTTATAGTCACATATAAACAATTATGTTCCAAAATTTCTAGTCTCACTTGTCACGCGCTCATACAGAACAAATTCCTCATTTATTTGGTATTATTCGTATATTTTTAATATGAATTCTTGTAGATAGATCAGTGATGTTATAAGCTTACCATGTTATTTCCTATGCGACTAAAAGACACGTTGAAGTACTTATTAGAAACATAAAAAAAAGAACCACTCCGCGGAAAAAATTACTTCGAAGAAATAGCACTTAAATATCTTGAGAGATAAAATTACTGAATACTTGTTTCGTTTGCGAACAACTGGAATAATACTTGGAAACTGTATTCGCAATCGGGATTTCGATATTCATTCGAATTCCAAAGGACACGCATTGTATGCCTTAAAATTCATAAATTAGATGAATAATAGGTGTAAATGTAAAATTAAATAAATATAAAATCTAAGAGCTTAATAAATAATCGTATGTTAGCATGGTAGAATTATAGGTAGTTATTGTATGCTTGTGATTGGTTTATTTTAACACATTATCTGTAGTGAAATATTCCACATTTTCTAAGGAATTGTTTAATGATAGATTAACGCTTACAGATTTATCATCAAAATTGAAAACTCGGAATATTTTATTACTTTTAGATAATGCGTTAATCCTTAAAAATGTATCGAGAACTGCATAAAAGGTTTCATACGATCAGCATTTAACATATTAAAAAAAAAGGATACTCTGAAAAGCATCCAAATCAATTTCTTGTAATGTTACATTTATATGTCATTATTTTAAAGCATTTTTATTAAATTTTACATTTCAAGTTATGTTGTAAATTTTATATAAATATTTTTCAGCCTTTTTTTTTCTCTCATGTTCATAAGCTGCACATAATTTGATGTGATATCATTGGGTTGTAATAATTTTATTGGCTCATTAAATCAGGCACCGATTTAATCGTGTGGATGTAATGTTGCGCAATGCGTTTATTTAATATTTATAGCAGATGAATATATCCAAAAAATTCGAGTCTTCGCGTACAAAACAAACTGTTTATTGTGAAACATGCGTATCGTTATTATAACTAGAATTGTTTGTAAGCATTAGAGACTGAATATTCTGTGTATGAAAATGAGCAGTAGATAGAATCCTGTATGTTGAGCTAGTAAAATAATATCTTATATTAGTATATGATTTATAAAAAAAATATCTTAAGTTATCCTATTTATGGACTTGTAAAAATAAACGTTTTAGATTAAATTTATCGGTTTTATTTTATTTTTGTTTTATCTTCGTTTATCATATATTTTGTTAAATATATACGAAACGAACACAATTCAGCCTAAATATCCTTACACGCGAGGAATTGAAAAATGTCAAATAAATCGTGAAACCATGCGATCCAAGCATTATACGCCATCGATCGGCGTGTCGTAAATTCCCATTGGAAGGAAGCGACACGTTCGCAGTCTATAGAAAAGTATAGATTTTTCCACCAACTTCGGTATTGAGGAACGAAATAGTCACTGCGGTCTCTTCCCCTCGAATGAGGATACACAGTATTACAGCCCGAAATATTATTCCAGATGTTTTGCGCGCGAAAACGAGTATTCGTGTTGTTGTTAGAGATCGGATATTGGCAAAAAGTAAAAAGGGCACTAAAGAATAAATTCCAAAACAGAATAGATATAGTAAACTTCAAGCTATAAGAAATCAACCAATCGTAATCGATTATTCTTCTCATATTTAATTATGATTGGCTAATATTTTATGACTTAAAGCTTACTACACCTATTTCGAGACTAAAATTAAGGTTTAAATGTGTTGTTTACAATCTGCGTAAGTTAATCAGCGATTATTCCAAGCTTTTGTCCCTAGGGATGAACTCTCGTGACCAATTTCTTAACAATGTAGTTTAATTTTAATCTTGGTTTAACTAACTCTTTATCTTTTTTTACTTCTAAGAATTAAAAAAGGTTGAAGAATAAGTTAAATCGAGATTAAAGTTAATCTACATTGGTAAAAACGGGCATTAGAGTGTCTCGCACGCGAACGGAATATTCTTAAGACCCACTGCGAAGTCCTCTATGAAACATTACTTATTTCTTACTCGAACGCATTTTGTCATTAACTTAATAATATATATTTAAAGCGTGTGACACGAAGCGTCAACTTAAAAAAAATCTAACATTGGATTCCTCGAGCTGCAATGATCTTCGTGGGCCACATTTTGTTTTCAGTTATCGATATACTGAAATTCGGCGAGGAAATCGATCGCGACGTCGATCGAAAAGACAAACTGGGAAAAAGTAGAAAAAGGACGAAAGAAAAGACAAAGATCGGTATTCGCCGCATACTGTATTCGCACGTATATACGCACACATTGCACGCGCGCCTATTGTCGTAAGGTGTAAAATTTGATATAAGAACTCCTTAGCTTTTAAGCGACGTTATTGAGGAGATAAAAAGAAAGAAGAGGAATTAACATACCCACATACATACACCTACACATACATATACATCTGCAATGTGATATTCTCGTGTCTTGTCCGATAAGACAGACGTTCATTCTAACGAGTATAGTTGGCGTTTGTCCTTCTTTTTTCGCGTTAGTCAGTAAGGTATATCTATAATATATATTTAAGGGAAACTCTACATATATACGTAAGAGATAATCCGGGAGTGTGTGTACGTGTTCGGAAATTTTGCGGATAAAGAAAAGAGAAAAATGCAAAAAAAAAAAAGAAACCCGTGTGACAGAGAAAACGACCAAAAATGTGCGAAACCGAGAGGTATGCAACATAATTTCGCGTTTTAGGGTAGGTAACTATCGGGGGAACTATCGTCACGAGATCCAAGGGATGCGTCTTCTAAGGACTCCATCTCCGTTCGTTCTTCCCCTCCTCTCCTCCCGTTTCCACTTCTTTTCATTCTTTGGGCAAAAGTACTATGCTCTCGCGTGGAAGGTTGTAAAAGTGCTCTCGCGAGCTTCTGTTCCACTCAATCTCAATCTTTGTAAAAGTATAGTGAATTAATTGTAACGCAACTTTTAAGTTTAAAGAGTCTTATTCTACTTACATATCCGTGATTCGTAATTTCACGCACGTCTATGTACGCTGTATTGTTCACGTTTAGTATACCGTCGAATGAAATGACTTTTTCCTGTATCGAGATGTCTACGATCGTACGTTGCGGTACGCTGTACAACGCGACAGTAGCTGCGTCGCGCTGTCTTCGACTTGCGACGTGCGATCGTACGGAAGATGAAGCGTGGCTGTTGAGGTAAAACCGCAAGTCAGAATTACTTGTAATTTTTCATTCATCTTCTCTTCCCGAAATTCCACTAAAATGTTTGCGACAGCCGATCAAACACATCACCGTTATTATTTGCTTTTACTGCATTAATTCTTTAGATACGCGCGCGTTTAACGTGAAATAGTGTCTTATTCATGGATAAGTTAATTTTACATTTTATTCTTAACTGTAGCAACGTGCCTTTGGCACCGCTAATTTCGTTTTTACATCTATGCTATACAATAACCGTGTTCCAATATGCACTGCCAATACTGAAAATCTATAATTTACGTCACGTATGCAGTAAATTTTCAGTACTGGTGGTACATACATATATATCCAATACGATTTCATTTACATATTCTGCATAGAATTAGCTGCAGCCTGCTGTGTTTCGATGTACCTGAAACCGGTGGTAAGGGTTTTATAAAACATCTCGTAATTTTGCGTGTAAAACGCGAACGTATATTTCTAGCGACGTATGTACTATCATCGTCCGTTTAGTAGGTAACAGGGATTTGTGACAAGTTCCATTCACGGGTCCGTGCATCGATACGAGAAATCCCTTTACGATATCGCGCTATGAAACACTACAAAACGTCAGTCATGTAGATCATCATTGGGGACGTTTTTTCCGCTGTAGATCGAAACAGTGCTCTTTGCCCGTCCCCTTAACTCTCCTGCCTTTACCTCGTTTCGTTCATATTAACCGGGGGTGGTGTCTTCAGCCTAATTCCCCCTAAAAAATATATTGACGGCTGTCGCTCCCGGGGGGTGAAGAATAGTCTGCAAAATTCTAAGTGTGTCACATGCCATCTTAGTCCATAAGCGTTCATACTTATTTTTCTATATTGTATAAAAGTATAATCGTTTTATCGTGTATAGTTCGTAACGCTCTGTTAGTCATCATAGTTTTTCGCCATCGTGTCTGCCGAGTCTGCCTTGATTCTATCAATCTCCATTTTTCCACACTATATATATCCTCATACGTTGACACAGTGTCTTAGATCGCCTAATTTCTTCTCGTAATCCGTTCGGGTGACTTTATCGAAAGACCGCCAGCGTCTTCTCACGGTGAGAAGGATGATGTGTGCTAATTAGTTTTCCTCCTGTTGCTTAAATATTGAAATTATAACGCGTTAAACAAGAGTGTGACTCCAATTGATCTTTCTTTCCAAGTGATCTTTCGTGCTTTATCAAAGGATATCGATACTCGTTTCGCACCGTCGAACGAGGTAATCGTAAGGACCGCAAAGAAACCCAAAATTCAAACGATACGTATTAAAGTGCGACGTGATATTAAATTAATTATCAACTGAAGGTTATAAATTAACTATTGACTAAGATCGTGGTAGGTGTGTAATAATTAATAAATTTTAACAGAGTAATTGGAAAATATCTGTATTCATTTGAGGGCATTTAAAGGAATTCTTATAGGAATACTCTTTTGACAAGGTGTTACTTCTACCTTGCGATTTTTAATTATTTCTAAGATTTCTCCTTGGATGCGTGTAATCGACTGAGATTACGACCAAAATACTTGTTTCGATATTAAGCTATAAGAAAGATGAAATTTTATTTTTTCACGGATCTCGGCGTCTTTAAATTATTTTTAAGGCTTCCGTTCGCAAATGCGAGCTCTTCGAGTAAATCGAATTGAAATTAATAAGATGATAAGATATTTTTTTGTTTCTCGATATTAAGCTCATAAATTCACTGTATAATCTTATTCTGGTTTTTTTATTGACGTTTTGCGCTCAAGTTTATTTTTATAAATGACTTAGGAAATGCTTTATACATCTTGTTTTTTACAAATTATATAAGGAAATTGTACATTAAATAGTCATACGGTAAAAAACCATCCATATCCTCTCTATCGACCTAAGAAACAGTATCTATCTAAAAGTTTAAAGATATTCTCAAGAATATAATTCTTTTTTGTATCGTCCTTGTATAATCTTTATTATTTTATGATTAATTGTATATTCTTTAATTGTCGCGAATCTGAATAAATTCTAATTTATTTGTATTACAAGCTTGGTATATGATTTTGTTTTCAATGCAATAAAATATAAATGATTATAAGACGATTCGTTATATCGTTGTTTTCCGCCGCGCGCAATGCATTTCATTTTATCGTTATTAACATCCTTGATTTATGCAAGATTTAATCTCGTAATTTTGCGGACGGAATGGACAATGTTATAATGTGACAGCAATTAAAATGTGAATCACAATAAGATTAAACGCTTACGAAAGCGATAATGCGCTTCGTGTTAAAACGAGAGTTTCCTGTACATATGTTTCTGCTATTATTTATTCGGTTACATCGTAGAAATGAAGTTATAACATCAGTACTAATTTTATTAATTCTAGTTATTTATTGCTTAGTAGTAATTTTTTGCTATCCTCGATAATTATACTTTGTGTTCCGTAATAACAATCTCGATGCAATCTATAAGTGCCCGTAAACGTTATCAAGGCGGTCTCATTGTGTGTATCTACTAAAAGCTTATTAAATCTATAAGATAATCTCTTGTCTTATAAAAGTATAAGATTATCCATAAGATAATCGCGTCAAAAACGTCTACCTTCACAATAATAAAAGTATAATAATAATAATAATAATAATAATAATAATAATTATAATAATACCATATATAATACTAATGATAATATTAATAATAATAATAATGTTAGCAATAATGGCTGTCTAATTTAGCACTTTGTGTAACCTAATGGCTGTCTATGTAATTTAACGTAAACTTTAAAAGGTAATTACTTTCCAAAAACTGACACAATCCGCTTCGGAGGCAATATCGCGCGCGACTGATCGAATTTATTAACGCGAACACGCCCGATCGACGCCAATTAATTAAACCGAAGTCTTGCTAATCTGCGCGTTCTGGATCTCGAGGAAAGGAGGAATTACGATCTAATACCGTTACCGACAATAATGACCCGGAAGTGATATTCGCGTGATGCAATTTACATACAAGATATGTACCTCGGATAAGCGACTAACGATGCTTTGTAATATCGTGCAATAATTCTGTCGCCCGTAATAAAAAAAATATCAGCGATGAAATTATTGTGCAGTGATATCGATTGACGTTCGCATCGTTTATAACAGCCTTTCTATGCGTAAACGGCTACTCGATATTAACGATTTTTCTTCCGTTCTTTTTCGCATTTTACCGCTTTATAAAATAATTGATTATTATTATCAATTGCAACGTGTTCCCTTCCTTTCGGGTTGTCGGTGATACCTTAAGTTTACGTGTAAGAAACATTTCGTCGTATATCAGGATCGCGATTTCAGGTTTAATTCGTCATATGACTTAAAGGTAACACCTACGGTATTGTGATATCTTTTCCAATATTTATCTTTAAAAAATTGTGCCACTGTAAAGGAATGCATTTGAAACGTGAAGGAGACACAAGATAGAAACGTATGTCTGCGCGTGTACATTTCTATGAAATAATTTCGAGCGTACCGGGTTAAATATATTCAACGATGTTGCTTTCCCCGTAAATTCTCGTCTTCGCGATATCCTGCAATTTCATAGGCTGTCATTAAAGCCATTTATCGCGGAATTGAAACTGCTACTGGTATTGTCACTCTATTATTATTAACACCGCGATGCGCTGTTACTATCGCTGATATTATTGGTATTACTCTCGCTGCTGTGTTACTATTGTGTCACCATTACTATTTATTGCTACCGTTACTATTACTATCACTATTGCTACTATTACTATTATTATCGTTACGGTTATTACTGCTAAACTATTGCTGCTGCTCCTATGTACCACCATTATCGTCGCTAATTACCGCCGCTATACTTACGTCGTCGCAATCCGCGCGCATTTTCGTCTCCAACGTGCAAACACTATTTTGACGTTTCTACCGCTTGGAATGGCGCTATTTGAGCTCTCGTAATTGTTAAGTACAAAAGTCACTCTAGTTTAGGATAAATAAATTAACGAGAGTTTCTTCATTATTCTCACGGGTCGGAACAACGCTTTGTCTACCTCCGAAGCGCTGTAATAAAGCCGCAATACTTCGCTCATTTTCTTACGGAACGGGATCAGCTTTTCTGAAGCAGCGTTTCATGCTTCGCGCGTCGAGTTGCGTTCGACAATTACTATATCCTTATTTTTCGACATATATCCAGTTTTGTATCCGACTCGCAAGACAAATTTTAAGTTTATCTATAAATCGTGTAAGACGTCGGGGAGACGCTGCACTTTAAAGTAAGCAAGCAGATTATTTAAGGGTTATGCGAAACCGCTGGGGTTCAGCAACGATCACAACCCTTCGCAATCCAAGTATTGACGTGAACACTACGTTTTATGACGTAAGTCAGTAAAACGAGTAAATGGTACGTTGCCACAAGTATAAACCTAAATTCAACAATATTTACAAACTCATTATCCGTAATGTGAG